TACGTACTTACAAGTTAAAAGATGTCGTAACAACTCTAAAACATAAATAATTGTTCCAAACAATTTTAGATAAATATTTTATTTAATCTTAAACCTTTAATGTAACATATTATATCATATCTTTTTTTTTTTTTTTTTTACGATATACAGATAATTATTATTTTGTGAAGACAACTTTTTTAAGACGAGAATTAGAAAAACTATAACTTATTACAACATGAAATAATTCTAATTTATAACTATCTTAAGTTGATATTAGAATTTTTGATGATTATATAGAAATTATTCATCAATAAAGTATCATTATAGGCGATTTTCTTGTATCTTTTTCCGTTCATTTGCAGTTCATTGAATCAAAGGAACCTTTATAATAACTTGAAATATTTTATATGTTGTCATTACCAATAACAGTACCAATGAATAATTCACAAAAACAATAAGCTATGATAATTATTGTCTTTCCATAATTTATAACTTCAAAAATGTAAGAATGCAGATCTTTCATTACAAAACACTGCAATAATTGAACCCAATAGTTTCAATCATTAACCCCGAAAAATAATTCGGCAGGGAATTTGATTGGCCTGTAATTGTAAGAATGAACTGCACCATGATCAAAGACTTGTTTAATCGGTAGTGATTGGAATGACATGTGACACTCCATTACATTGCTCATCTTGCTGAGCTACTTGGGTTTGCTCTCTCACTCTCGCATTCCTCTATCTCCTTGCTTTTACCCCAAAGGAGAATGTACAGACCAATTATAACTAGGATGGATCCCACAACACTGTTTAGTAACAAATGAAGATGTTCAGGAACCATAATATCATCTGATTTCACAATAATTACGTAAAAGAATGATCTGAGAAAATAATTAACCTTCCAGAATAAAGTGGTTCATGCAGGATTGAGAAGTCAAACATGGCTACAAATATCTGAATAAGAGGAGTAAGTGCAGATGTGAATACAGGACCCCTTCGTTTAACTGACCAAGACATCCCCACATAGCACAGTCCTGATCCCACTATGCCCTGTTTCCACACATTAAACAAATGGTCTTTTATTAGTATTCTAAATCTGGGTTAAAATTTCCATAACCTGAATATAAAAAGAAGGAAAAGGTGTACTTAAGTTATGTGGTACGTGATATTTGAATGGTAAAGAAATGCTTACAGCATATAAGATACTTGTTATCTCCAAATATCCTTTCAAAAACCACCCAGAAGGGTTCCTCTTTATGATTATGCTCAAGATGGCTGACTGGATGGCAGCGAAGGAGGACAGAATAGCGGTGCTGGAACATTGACATGGATATCTCTTTCCAATCCATGCTTGCATAAGGAACCATGAAGCCCACCCAACGCATCCTGCAATCAAAAATATAGAACCAATGGCCCACCTCTCTGTCTTATTTCTTGAACTCGTCATGTGGGATTGTTCTATCAGATGATTTGGGTTTGTTAAGGGCTTTCCCATGTAAAGGGTTAACACTACAGCTCCACCAATGCAAAAAAGTGCACCCACCACCTTAGCCCTCCCAGAGAAGCTTTTCATATTCACTTTCTCCAGTCTGCAAGATTTTAAGGAAATTAAAAGGTTTGGTCATTAACCCAAATGATTTGACTTGCTGCTTACTCTTACCTAAATGGTAACGCCAATAAGAATGTCATAACCGGAACCACGTTGAGAAACGCACATGAGAAGGTAGCTGATGTGTATTCAAGTCCCAGAAGAAATAAGTATTGTGCTAGTGTTACCCTAAAATATATCAAATTTCTTTCATCAAGTCATCAACAAAGATAATAATATAAGATCTATATGAACAATCAGAGAAACCCCATCCATCAAAGACTTTATTACTAACCCCAATAGAGCGCTGAAGAACAGCTGACACAAGATTTGAACTGTGAGCTTGGGTCTATTTTTTCTGCAAGAAAAATATCTATATAATTAAGTTCCTTGCATAAAATTCTAATATAGAATCAAGTTGAGTTATCAAGTCATAATGTTTTTCGCAATTAAGAAAAAAATAATCTTGTTATGAATTTAGCCAACAGCAAGCAATAAGTAGCCTATAATAAATTACTTTAAATGGAATGACTAAGATAGCAGGTACCTTTCCCAGAAGTAGGCAATGGGTGCCACGAAAATAGCTGAAATTAATTGTCGGTAAGCAACAATAACCAAATGGCTGGTTCCTTCATCAATAATCTTCTTGAGAAATACATTCACCATAGCCAATGCAAAGTTAACAACCACCATCGCAGCAACAGGCTTAAATTGTTCATGGCAATTCATGTTGAACTATTGCGCACAAACACTAACACAAGTATAATGAGAACCTTTTCTCTTCCAAATTCTGTCTCTGGAAAACACAATGAAAGCATACAAATTTATCACGTTATAAATAGGAAAATACCAGTGAAATCGGAATAGACATGATTGTAAACTCAAAATCAAATCAAAACATTATGCATACAACTAGCCCTTTCCAGATATTCTTCTGTTTGTGCTCACTGTTATTAGACCTTTTTCAACAGTTCAGAGATAACTGGATCAATTGCGTAAATCCATCACGAGTTTTCCGTTTTCATTTTCCCTTATCCGACATGATTAGGCAATGATTCTCATGTCATTAAGGCCTTCTGTCTCTAACTTTTCAAAAAGAGAACGTTACGACCAAGCATCCTCTCTTCTACATAGCATCTAATACTTCTTCTGTCGTGTACATATTAACCGCTTCATTATAGTTGCATTGCAGGCAAAGAACAATCTGTCAAATCTTAGATTAATAATCTCCCATATAAAAAACAATGCGATTCTAGCTAATTGCTGCTCATATGATATTTTGCGCTGTTCAGAGGATGCTTCCGACTTTTTTGTTTTAATACGTCATGATCAACGTATTTAGCATAGTAATCTTCTTTATTTGCACTTTGCAGTCATCATATTTAGTGACTAGCAATCAACCACCTTGTCCATTCTTTCAAGTTCTATGTTCCGTTTTCATTACTTTCTTTTATCTCTACCCCTTTCATTGTAGGCAAATAGTATTCTGGGTATAAAAAAAATGTATTTTGATTTCTTCTTAGTATATTTTTGCAGATAGATTTATAACTGGAGTAAAACTTTTCTATAATCATAATGGTATGACTAATTAATTTTATTACTATGAGGAGGATTTAACCTAATAGAGATATAGTTAAAAAAATTATTGTTGTTTTTTTTTTTTTTTTAATAATTCATATTTTAGTAAGAAATATTAGCATTTCAATTCATATTTTAATAATATTAGGATTTCAATTACTTACCTAAAAAATATTAGGATTTCAATTTAACGCTTCAATTGCCTACTTTTTAAATGGATAGAAGATTGTGTTTTGGAATAAGCAAAGATAAATGTCTTTGATAAAATTGTCACTGCAATTGATGCACAGACAATTGTCAATTGTTTTAAACATTGCAAAGTTAAGACCCTTAGTGTCAATGAATTACAAGTTACAAAGGAAGTTTATGCCTAAAAATTAAGGTTGACATAAGCTGATGTCAGCGAGCACCAATCAAAGTTCAATAAGGTTTTACATCGTCTAGAGTCTGCCACGTTGCCTAAGACATAAATAATATAGCTGTCAACAACCCAGTCGACTCAAGTTTTGTTTGTAAATTAATTTTGTTTGCACCCACTTGCAAAAATGTAATCATTACCTTGAGCTCAGCGATACAAATAGACAACTTCCTCTCACAAAATCAAGATTAGACCCTTTGAATTTAAAAAAGAAAATAACAAAGACACACTACGAGAAAGAGACTAGTTTGACATTCTCTAAGAATCCTTTAGACACCAAGCACTTGTAACCCCAAATTGCAGCCTGCGACCTATTGTAATCTTGGCTAACAACCAGGAACATACTAATATAAAATAAAAACATTGGATGTAAGATTCGCTTTAAGTATCTAAATCACTATAAAAATCTTTACTATCTCTTATACTTTTACGTTTTTGCATGCTACTGTGAAAACAGTACCATAATTAACTCTCATAATCAATTAATGTGTAATTTATAAGATATTCTTAGCACTTTGCATGTGTAAAGTCGTTGGTATCAAAATTCAGCATCAACCAAAGTGGATGAGGAGAATCAGAGAGTCATTATAGAATTTAGTGATCAGATTTGACAACTTCACTACATTAATCAAATGAATATTAATGTCTTCTTCAATCATTCAAATAAGTAATAAGTCATGTATGCTTTAACCGAAGAATATTTTTTTTTTACAATTAGACAAGAGAAAGGAAACTATCTTGAGGATGATAGTATGGAAATACAAAACTTTTCATGCCAAGAAGTTATAAACATGTTTGAGAAACTAGAAATGTTTTGGCTTTCATAAGAAGGTGTTCAGGCTAATAGGTTATCACGTACTTGTAAGTTAAAAGATGTGGTAACAACTTTAAAATATAAATAATTGTTCCAAACAATTTTAGGTAAATATTTTATTTAATCTTAAACCTTTAATGTAATATATCATATCATATCTTTTTTTTTTTTTTTTTTGGTAATATACAGATAATTATTACTTTGTGAAGACAACCTTCTTAAGACGAGAATTAGAAAAATTATAACTTATTACAATATAAAATTTATTCTAATTTATAACTATCTTAAATTGGTATTAGAATTTTCGATGATTATACTGAAATTATTCATATATAGGGTATCATTGTAGAACTATTTTCTTGTATCTTTTTCCGTTCATTTGCAGTTCATTGAATCAAAGGAACCTTTATACATATGGATTAAATTATTTTATATAAAGAATCTTCAATTATTTAGTTAATAGCTATAGAAAAAATTTGTAGTAAAGTATTATAAAATTATATATCTCAAATTAAAAAATTAGAAAAAAAAAAAACCTAGCCTTGTTCTGGTCCTCCTGAGTTAAAATTTTAAACATCATATTAACTACAAGTATAGACCTCTACATAACTAGCTCACTGACACTGACAGATAACTCTGGCGCTATTCTTGGCGATGCGATGCGCCATGGAAGAACAGTTCTATCTTCTTCCTTCAAATCACCATCAGTCCAACTGGGAAACATCCTCTTGCTGGCCTCTATCACCAAAACCCTTTCAGAATCCGGCACTCGCAACCTTGACCATCGATCCATTCCCATCTCAGAGCCTCTTGTTCTCCAAGTCCTGGCCAAGAATTCACTTGACTCATCCAAAAAGATCGACTTCTTTCGTTGGTGCTGTTCTCTCAGACCTAATTACAAACACAGTGCCTGCACTTATTCTCATATTTTTCGGACCGTTTGTAAAGCGGGGTTCCTCAAAGAAGTCCCAAGTTTGTTAAATTCGATGAAGGAGGATCAAGTTGTTGTTGATTCTGAAACTTTTAAGCTATTACTCGAGGCTTTTATTAAATCTGGTAAGTTTGACTCTGCGCTAGAGCTTCTTGATTATATGGAAGAATTAGGGACTAGTTTGAACCCTAAGGTGTATGACTCTGTTATTGTAGCTTTAGTTAGAAAAAATCAGGTGGCTTTGGCGTTGTCTATTTTATTGAAGCTTCTTGAAGCTAATAATGTTAGCATTATCAATAAAGCAATAGATGTATCGCTTCCTGGTTCTTTTGCCTGTAATGAATTGTTAGTTGCTCTTAGAAAGTCTGATATGAGGGTTGAATTTAAACAAGTTTTTGATGCACTGAGGGAAAAGAAGGGCTTTGAGTTTGATACTTGTGGTTATAATATATGTATTCATGCATTTGGATTTTGGGGTGATTTGGGTACTTCTTTGAGGCTGTTTAAAGAGATGAAGGAACAGGGTTTGGTTCCTGATTTGCATACCTATAATAGCTTAATTCAGGTGCTTTGCATGGTTGGGAAGGTGAAAGATGCATTGATAGTATGGGAGGAATTGAAAGGATCTGGTCACGAACCAAATCAGTTTATGTATCGAAATCTAATTCAAGGATGCTGTAAATCGTACCAAATAGATAATGCAATAAAGATTTTTAGTGAAATGCAGTATAATGGGTTCGTTCCGGATACTGTGGTATATAACTCTTTGCTTGATGGATTGTTCAAGGCGAGGAAAATTATGGAAGCATGCCAACTGTTTGAGAAAATGGTTCAGGATGGGGTTAGGACTTCCAGTTGGACGTACAATATTCTGATTGATGGTTTGTTTAGGAATGGAAGGGCAGAGGCTGGTTACACTTTGTTTTGTGATTTGAAGAAGAAGGGGCAGTTTGTCGATGCTGTAACCTACAGCATTGTTGTGTTGCAGCTTTGTAGGGAGGGACACCTTGAGGAAGCTTTAAAATTAGTGGAAGAAATTGAAGGAAGAGGTTTTGTTGTAGATCTAGTTACAATAACATCCCTTTTGATTGGGTTTCATAAACAAGGTAGGTGGGATTGGACAGAGAGGCTTATGAAGCACATCAGGGATGGTAATCTAGTGTCCCATGTTCTTAAGTGGAAAGCCGATTTGGAGGCCTCAATGAAAAGTAGAAAGAACAGAAGAAAGGATTATACTCCAATCTTCCCATCTAAAGGCGATTTTAGTGAAATTATGAATCTTATAGGTTCTACCATCTCAGAGATGGATACCAACCTAAATTCAGAAGATGGTTGTGTTAAGGATGAGGATTCCTCGATGGACATGGATCAGTGGTCATTGTCTCCATATATGGATAGATTGGCCGATCAACTGAAGTCTGACTATCATTCTTCACAGCTGTTTTCGCTATCTAGGAGCCAGCGAGTCCAAGATAAAGGAGTGGGCTCTTTTGATATTGACATGGTCAATACTTTCTTGTCTATATTTCTGGCTAAAGGGAAGCTGAACTTAGCCTGTAAATTGTTTGAGATATTCAGCGATATGGGTGTCAACCCTGTCACCTACACTTACAATTCCATGATGAGTTCATTTGTGAAAAAGGGCTATTTCAATCAGGCGTGGGGAGTACTTAATGAAATGGGTGAGAATGTTTGCCCAACAGATATAGCAACATACAATGTGATAATTCAAGGTTTGGGGAAGATGGGAAGAGCAGATCTAGCCAGTGCTGTTCTGGATAAGTTAATGAAGCAGGGTGGTTATCTTGACATAGTTATGTACAACACCCTTATTAATGCTCTAGGAAAGGCTGGCCGGATAGTTGAAGCCAATAAGCTTTTTGAGCAGATGAGGTCGAGTGGAATTAATCCTGATGTCGTCACTTTCAATATACTAATTGAAGTTCACAGCAAGGCAGGCCAATTGAAGGAAGCATACAATTTCTTGAAAATGATGTTGGATTCAGGTTGCTCCCCGAACCACGTCACCGACACAACCTTAGATTTTCTTGGAAGAGAGATTGAGAAACTGAGGTACCAAAAGGCATCAATCATGCCAAATAAGGATGATTCTTAAGAAAATGTTTCTGCTGGTTGGCATGGTTCGAAAGTTATTGAAATTTGCATCAATCTGCAATGGAATGACTCCAATATTTGTCAATCAATTCCAAAATGAGAATTTAACCACAATTTGGTTGGCATAGACAGTATCATTTTTATTATCATGATTTATAGATGAAATTGTTTACTTCGTTTATTACAATCCACGTTACGAAATCCCATTGAAAGTGTAGAGTTGCAGACGCTACATGGGTTTATCATGCATGCCATTCGTTGGTTACAATTTTGCCATCAAGAATTAATACCTCGTTCCGAAAGGATAATTATACTTATAAATGATACATGTGCACAATTTGGTAATAAGATTGAAAAACTTTAATTATTTTAGGTATCATGTTACCGTCTCTGTAAGTCGTCTCTAGTATGGTGTAAAAAATTCGGGGGCATAATTTTTTTTTTTTTTTTTTTTTAATTCATATATTTTTTTCCATATTTACCAATCCCACAGTGCAAATCTGTGCATAGACGGGCACATGATTCTGCATGCATATGAACTTGAATGATTATATGCAGCATGGAGCGGTAAACTGTCATGGGTAAAAGTTATTTAAAAGCATCGTAATCTATACAAACAAATTGCAATTCTTCCAAGTTCTATAAACGGAGAAATAAATCGTGTTAATATTAATCACACAAAAGAATGGAAGTAAATGTACTCTAACATACACGAAAAATAACGCGCAAATGTTGAATAGCCGCAACCGGAATCAAATCACAAAGATCTAAAAAGAAATCACTCGAAAAGAATACACAATCAAAAAATGCCTAAAAAAAGAGAGAAAGCAAGCAAGAAGAGCCAGACAATATGGACCAAAAGAAGCGCCTGACCAGGAAGAGGAGTGCTGCCACCACTGCCAACTTCACAAAACCCTAATTTAGCCACCTTAACACCCGCACACAAGGCTTCAGGACAGCCGCACCAGTAGGTGACCCCGTCAACTCCACACACGGGATCGGCTCGAAAGCAATTGATCGGGCATAATCCCGGCTTGTTGAAGCCTGCGCAAACCCCATCGCCATCGTCGTGCTTTGATCGCACAAACTGTGTGCTGAAATTGAATACCAAGAAGATGACAAAGATGAAAATTAAAGGATTTGCTGCTAAGAAAGAATGCATATGGCCAGATTTTCCGATTACGTTAGAGCCAAACCCTAACCCTAAATGCCTTTCGATTTAGGGAAAGAGGCAAATATTTTCTTGACTTGTTCTGGAACCTAAGTACTAAGGAAGGGAGGAATATGTTGCTAAAGTAAATTTATAGATGAACCATAGAATGTAGGCCACGTGTCTCCCATTATGTCGTATAGTATCTCAGAAGAAAGCTCCAATCTTCACATAGATTCACCTCGAAGGTAACAATATAAAACGACATGTCGTTCCATTTCTTATTAGTTGGATGGCATGGTGGTAGATGTTGACTTGCGAATTACATGGATGACAAATCGTTCTTTTTAATATTAAATTAAATACAGCAAGTCTACTGAACCTCTCTCTTTGCGGAAGACAATAATTCGTTTACCAAACGATGAAAATCCTACCTAGTCCACCAACATCGACACGTCATTGACTTGTTCAATTCTTAGTTTTTCTTATATTTAATATTAATAATACTTCAAACTTAATTTTGTTGATGAAATGAAACTGCTTAGGAGAATGCTAACCAGATGTTTAAATCATAATTCTCTCAAGGTTTTGTTCAACTTGTAAATAAATATAAATTTGATATGGTTGGGTGTAATAATGCTGATTTGTTACCTAATTAATATATTATATTAATACAAATATATGCCTAGAATATGGTGTATTGCATCATAACATGGCTCAGCATATTGCATTGCTAAAAGGTAATAACAATATCCAAAATAACAGCTAATGCTCATCTTTATTCATTCAAGAGCTCTCTGGCAACATTTTGGGAATAATACAGGATTCTTCTTCCCATAATATCATAACCTAGTTTCCTACTTTACTTTTGCATAGATTATCACTGTCGTTATCCTGAAATTCTGAGATCTGTAGACAATACACCGCATTCAACACACCATTATTTAATGGTACAGATAGATATTATTAAATAACATTGCCAATGACAACATTCCCATTGAATCACTTCTGGAACCATATTCTTCAAAGCTAGGCTAGCAGTAAAGCATCCACATAAATAGTTTTGTCATGCACGACATCTCTTAAGCACCATGAATCTTTTTCTTTCTGCGAACACCTGCTAAATGCAAATGAATTCAAATAAGTAAATGAGACAAGGTGGATCACATAGAATGCGAAACAAGAATGCTTAGTGACCTAAATTATTTATGCATCCAGGAGGAGATATAGGTATGGCTGCATCTCACCAATAAAAGGTGAGTAAGAATGAAGTAGCACCTAGGCCTTGGCCACCCAAACGAAACCTAAACTGTCATGGTGTGGCAGTGGCTCTATAGCATGGAACATGATTCAGAAGGGAGTTGAAGAATGCTTGTTCCACATTGAAATAAATTATTTTGATCATGAACTGAAGGCCCTGAAAGACAATGAAACCACAAACATAATGTTCTGGAATCACCAAAGCTTAAAGTAAAATACCAACTTGCTCACCACTTACAACACCTTTAGATTCTGCTTATAGTCTACAAAGAACATTGTCCCCTATTGCATATTGACAAGCAGACAGACGTCAAACAACATTACAGGTCTGTCTCAACCATCTGCTTTCAACTTTTCCAATCTTGGTGAGCTAGACATTCCAAAGTGTGACCAATCCATAGGTAATGTCCTGACTTTTGCCTAGATGAAAAGAAATTATATTAACTAGCTAAGCCATACTACTCAACAAATATTAAGCAAGCATTATCCATTTTCCTCAAGCATAACTGATTTATCTAAGACAGACATGGAAAGCATATTCACATGTCCTAGTTGTTGTCCATGCAAAGGCCTACGTGAGATAAATTTACAACATAGATGTTCTTAAGCATTTGCTGGTTTTTCAGTTTCTAGGACAAGAAAGAAACCTCTGAGCTAAAGAGTGACAAATGTCATATAAGAGAAATCTACCTGAAGAGCTCTTACTCCAGAGGACCTGACCATCAACAGCAGTAAGGTGTGCATCATCAAGGCGCTTCCATGTTTTGATTGACTTGACTGCTCCCCAACCTCCCTTCTCCAGTTTCTCCAGACTGGCTACTACTACCCTCGCCCTCCTTTCCCATCCAGCCTTTCCATAGGCATGGTATCCAAAACCCCCAGCATAACAAAGTTGTATACCAGTAAGCTGACCACAGAAGTCATTGATGTGATCATGGCCTGTGAAAACAGCCTTCACATCCCCTGCTGCTACCATGGTTGTAAAGAAGCCTGAGTTCACAGAAGCAGAGCTTATGCCTTCTTGCTTAACACCTGTGAAGTTCGATGAATCAAAACTCGCAAATTCAGGCAATGGTATGTGAAAGTATGCAAGCCCAGGTGCGGGTGCCTTCTGAGCAGCTGGCTTGCTCATGTATTCCCTCTGCAGTGAAACATGATCAATGAGTCATATAATCTATAAGAAATTGTGATGAATTTATTGAGCATCTGTCAGTCCAAGAGAAACAGAAGCATATCAATATCACCTGAAATTTGAAATCTACAATTATCCAGGTTCTTAAAAGTGCCTATAGTAATTGCATTAGATATGTTCCTTGGAGAAAACATTGGTGTTAAAATTTGTTGAAATGGCTCATAAAAGTTATTGCCACTAAAAAAGCACTCCAAGCAACAAAAAACAAAGAGGTTAGTACCCGCAGCTTGGCAGAAGTGCGTTCAAACCAGAGCTGCTGGGAAGGTTTGATCCATCCATAGCCACCAATGGCAGGAACCGTTGAGTAATCTCCACTATCAAGGAAGTAGAGATTGAGAACCGATTTGTTTTTGAAACTTGAACCTTCAACCCCACCGATCTCCAAGTTATAGTTCCCAAAGCCATCAATAATATGTGCCTCCGGAGGATTGACTTGAGACAAAGTGTTCTTCAAAGTAACTATATGTTTCATGACTCCTTCCCTTGAGAGAGTCGATTCCTGGTCATGGTTCCCCAAAACAGCTACCCATGGGATGTTTGATGCAATTGCTGGGGCAAATGCAGCATTCAGAGATTTTGCGGCGTCTGTGGCATCAAATCCGAAGATGTTATCACCTGTTGCACATGGTAAATACTAACAAGTTAAACTGGGTAGACAACATGAGAAGAGGCATGTGACCACGAATACAGACTGTTATCATTACTAAATTGAAAGACATGTGACCATAACTACGGATTTTGCTTTGTAGTATCCCAATTTCCTAGTAAACCTCACGGATTAACATTAGCAGATAGATAGAACAACTTGCATATCTGTATAGCTCAAGAGTTGTAGTCATTCACATTAGCACTATTACTCTGAACTGATCTTTCTCTTTCCAACACAACTCTTGGCAATTTCACAACTGGTCTGGTAACAAACACAAAAAATTTACAGTTGAATTATTATTATTATTATTACCAGAAATGTAATGTTTGAAGGATCATTAAGCTTTTGAGGACATGTTTCTGATTAAAACATATCTCAAACTTCTTGAGGGACATTAATATAACATCAAAATAATAAAGCTTATGAGAACAAAGAGTCAAACCATTTCGTCTAATGGTAAAATAACTTTGTAAATGAAGAAAAGGAAAAAACTCGAAGGTAACAATATAAAACGACATGTCGTTCCATTTCTTATTAGTTGGATGGCATGGTGGTAGATGTTGACTTGCGAATTACATGGATGACAAATTGTTCTTTTTAATATTAAATTAAATACAGCAAGTCTACTGAACCTCTCTCTTTGCAGAAGACAATAATTCGTCTACCAAACGATGAAAATCCTACCTCGTCCACCAACATCGACACGTCATTGACTTGTTCAATTCTTAGTTTTTCTTATATTTAATATTAATAATACTTCAAACTTAACTTTGTTGATGAAATGAAACTGCTTAGGAGAATGCTAACCAGATGTTTAAATCATAATTCTCTCAAGGTTTTGTTCAACTTGTAAATAAATATAAATTTGATATGGTTGGGTGTCATAATGCTGATTTGTTACCTAATTAATATACTATATTAATACAAATATATGCCTAGAATATGGTGTATTGCATCATAACATGGCTCAGCATATTGCATTGCTAAAAGGTAATAACAATATCCAAAATAACAGCTAATGCTCATCTTTATTCATTCAAGCGCTCTCTGGCAACATTTTGGGAATAATACAGGATTCTTCTTCCCATAATATCATAACCTAGTTTCCTACTTTACTTTTGCATAGATTATCACTGTCGTTATCCTGAAATTCTGAGATCTGTAGACAATACACCGCATTCAACACACAATTATTTAATGGTACAGATAGATATTATTAAATACCATTGCCAATGACAACATTCCCATTGAATAACTTCTGGAACCATATTCTTCAAAGCTAGGCTAGCAGTAAAGCATCCACATAAATAGTTTTGTCATGCACGACATCTCTTAAGCACCATGAATCTTTTTCTTTCTGCGAACACCTGCTAAATGCAAATGAATTCAAATAAGTAAATGAGACAAGGTGGATCACATAGAATGCGAAACAAGAATGCTTAGTGACCTAAATTATTTAGGTATCCAGGAGGAGATATAGGTATGGCTGCATCTCACCAATAAAAGGTAAGTAAGAATGAAGTAGCACCTAGGCCTTGGCCACCCAAACGAAACCTAAACTGTCATGGTGTGGCAGTGGCTCTATAGCATGGAACATGATTCAGAAGGGAGTAGAAGAATGCTTGTTCCACATTGAAATAAATTATTTTGATCATGAAATGAAGGCCCTGAAAGACAATGAAACCACAAACATAATGTTCTGGAATCACCAAAGCTAAAAGTAAAATACCAACTTGCTCACCACTTACAACACCTTTAGATTCTGCTTATAGTCTACAAAGAACATTGTCCCCTATTGCATATTGACAAGCAGACAGACGTCAAACAACATTACAGGTCTGTCTCAACCATCTGCTTTCAACTTTTCCAATCTTGGTGAGCTAGACATTCCAAAGTGTGACTAATCAATAGGTAATGTCCTGACTTTTGCCTAGATGAAAAGAAATTATATTAACTAGCTGAGCCATACTATTCACCAAATATTAAGCAAGCATTATCCATTTTCCTCAAGCATAACTGATTTATCTAAGACAGACATGGAAAGCATATTCACATGTCCTAGTTGTTGTCCATGCAAAGGCCTACGTGAGATAAATTTACAACATAGATGTTCTTAAGCATTTGCTGGTTTTTCAGTTTCTAGGACAAGAAAGAAACCTCTGAGCTAAAGAGTGACAAATGTCATATAAGAGAAATCTACCTGAAGAGCTCTTACTCCAGAGGACCTGACCATCAACAGCAGTAAGGTGTGCATCATCAAGGCGCTTCCATGTTTTGATTGACTTGACTGCTCCCCAACCTCCCTTCTCCAGTTTCTCCAGACTGGCTACTACTACCCTCGCCCTCCTTTCCCATCCAGCCTTTCCATAGGCATGGTATCCAAAACCCCCAGCATAACAAAGTTGTATACCAGTAAGCTGACCACAGAAGTCATTGATGTGATCATGGCCTGTGAAAACAGCCTTCACATCCCCTGCTGCTACCATGGTTGTAAAGAAGCCTGAGTTCACAGAAGCAGAGCTTATGCCTTCTTGCTTAACACCTGTGAAGTTCGATGAATCAAAACTCGCAAATTCAGGCAATGGTATGTGAAAGTATGCAAGCCCAGGTGCGGGTGCCTTCTGAGCAGCTGGCTTGCTCATGTATTCCCTCTGCAGTGAAACATGATCAATGAGTCATATAATCTATAAGAAATTGTGATGAATTTATTGAGCATCTGTCAGTCCAAGAGAAACAGAAGCATATCAATATCACCTGAAATTTGAAATCTACAATTATCCAGGTTCTTAAAAGTGCCTATAGTAATTGCATTAGATATGTTCCTTGGAGAAAACATTGGTGTTAAAATTTGTTGAAATGGCTCATAAAAGTTATTGCCACTAAAAAAGCACTCCAAGCAACAAAAAACAAAGAGGTTAGTACCCGCAGCTTGGCAGAAGTGCGTTCAAACCAGAGCTGCTGGGAAGGTTTGATCCATCCATAGCCACCAATGGCAGGAACCGTTGAGTAATCTCCACTATCAAGGAAGTAGAGATTGAGAACCGATTTGTTTTTGAAACTTGAACCTTCAACCCCACCGATCTCCAAGTTATAGTTCCCAAAGCCATCAATAATATGTGCCTCCGGAGGATTGACTTGAGACAAAGTGTTCTTCAAAGTAACTATATGTTTCATGACTCCTTCCCTTGAGAGAGTCGATTCCTGGTCATGGTTCCCCAAAACAGCTACCCATGGGATGTTTGATGCAATTGCTGGGGCAAATGCAGCATTCAGAGATTTTGCGGCGTCTGTGGCATCAAATCCGAAGATGTTATCACCTGTTGCACATGGTAAATACTAACAAGTTAAACTGGGTAGACAACATGAGAAGAGGCATGTGACCACGAATACAGACTGTTATCATTACTAAATTGAAAGACATGTGACCATAACTACGGATTTTGCTTTGTAGTATCCCAATTTCCTAGTAAACCTCACGGATTAACATTAGCAGATAGATAGAACAACTTGCATATCTGTATAGCTCAAGAGTTGTAGTCATTCACATTAGCACTATTACTCTGAACTGATCTTTCTCTTTCCAACACAACTCTTGGCAATTTCACAACTGGTCTGGTAACAAACACAAAAAATTTACAGTTGAATTATTATTATTATTATTACCAGAAATGTAATGTTTGAAGGATCATTAAGCTTTTGAGGACATGTTTCTGATTAAAACATATCTCAAACTTCTTGAGGGACATTAATATAACATCAAAATAATAAAGCTTATGAGAACAAAGAGTCAAACCATTTCGTCTAATGGTAAAATAACTTTGTAAATGAAGAAAAGGAAAAAAAAAAAAAAAAAATTACCAGTGAAAACAATAAGATCGGGCTTCTCAGCTAAAATCATGCGGTTGACAAAAGCGGTAGTGTTGAGGTCAGAGCAACCAGCGACCTGGGTTGGAAGAACATCCTCACAAGGCGTGGTCTTGCCATCCGCATAATGCATGTCAGCCACTTGCAGTATCTTAAACTCCCCATCTCGTCCAAACCGCAGTTTCTGATCGCCCAAGATTGGTTTAAAACACACTAAAACTAAAAACACAACCACACTCACACGCACACATGGGAGGAAGACAACAGGTGGTCTCCTCTTATTCATCATCATCTTTTACGCTGTTATTTCCAACCACAAACAAACCTACTTATAGTCTCAACTACAGATTTAGTTAGCTTAAGTGTTGATTGAAGATCATAAATGATACTTCACCTCACCACAACCAAACAAACAAGAGAATCCCTCTTATTTCATTTATCTACTACCCTTCGATTACAAATTCTGCCGCTTCCATAGGATATTCCATAAATGACACTATCAAGTATCACATAGGTCAAGCAAGTCAACTACTAGGGTAGTTTTTATTCCAAAAATATTATTTTATTTTATTGTTTTTTAAAGGGTTGGGCCTTGGTATTCGCGGATAACCATGTAGTAGGCTAGTGGCTCAATAAATTAATTAGTTGAATACAGTAGTAATGTCGTGAGTCATGACCAAGACAAACATTGCCAACGCGCCAGACCACTTTTGATATTTACTTTCAACGCTCAAGCCTTCCCTCATTTTGTTTAAAAGCTAAATCAATTAATTTAATCCTATCCAATCTAGTTGGAATTTTTTTTTTTGGTTGACCGAGAATGTTTAAGTCAGCTTGGATTGGTAGGAGTTCAGATTTAATCAATTTAATTTAAATTAACATATTTCTCTAACTTAATTTATTACAGGCTAAAAAATACATTAAAATCACTTGTTCTTCATCGTAACATTAAGCTACCTTTAAGTATAGTTGAAGATCATGAATCATCATTCTCAGAAGAATCGCTCTAATTCATTTCCTTGCCTTTTCACAATAAATTCTGTCCATTTCCAATTCCTTATTGTCAATTTAATTTTATTCCGGATGGGCCTCGGTGATTGAGGAAAGCATTGCCTTTGTTTGCTCAATCTACAAACTAAATGTTTTCCACATTATTTCGTCAAATTTGCCCAATGCATACACTAGTAATGTCATAACTCATGCCAATAAATAAATGCCAGAACACGTAGCAACTTTAATATCTTCTTTGACAGAACATAGAAATATTGGTCAGTCCAGCCTGCTTGTTGCGGCTACATCATGAAACACATTTAATGCTTCAACAACCAAAATTGCAAAAAGTACCTCATTGATCGTTGTTGCAGATGCAGTTAGGAAAAAATTAATGCACAAGCTAACACTCCACTTCACCATCTCTTTTGCAAGCAAGATATTTTGGTTAATCACATACCAAACAGAGCACAGCTCTGGTATTAACAGGGTTTCTAGGTAAAATCAAATAATTTTTTTTTAGAAAATCTAGTGATTTGTGACACCAGTTGATAGCTTAAGAGAAATAATGATGACATAAAACGAAGACCACCCCGTTTTTTCGTTTAATTAAATGGGTCGTCCGTTTGTAAAAGTCTTGCGGGGTTCCTTCTTATAAGCCAAAGGATGTGAGTTCTCAATCTCAGATACATTATTATTTTTGTATAAGCAGATAAAAGTCCCCAAGCCCTACCCCAGAAGTGGCAGTGAGCCAGTGACGCAGAACCTGATGAACTAGACCCAACTTGTTGGTTTGCCTGTCAATGGCAAATGAATGCATGCATGGATACTATTTTGCCAGCTAGTTAATTTGGCTTAGCATTCTGAACAAGAATATCTTGATGAATATGTGATTGTCTCATTCACTTTCATTGTTTAAGTTTTCAAAGTCCAGTAAATTATGAGTGTTCATGAACGCTTGTGACTGTCTAGCATGGGGAGAATATAATTATATAAACAAAAACTAATGAATCTCATTTGTCTTTTTGTGACATATGATTAAGATTGAAACAAAGCCTATTATACGCTGACGTATCAGATGTGCACAGATACAGAGTATTGTATATCACAATTTGAGAAACAATAGATTAAGTATATGCAGGTTGGTTGAGCTCTAAATAGGCTTTTCAAATCCCTCGGCTACCTTCCCTTATAACATAACCTGCTTAAACGTGCACAGAACACAAAGAGGTACAGAATAGAGAAAAAACAAAAAAAATTGAACATCCATGATCCAACAATTCGGATTGAGCAATGTTCCCATGCCATTAAGAAATGGAGGACAGACATGTCTGACATATGGACACGGGCCAGAATCTAGTTTCCTGTACATGTAACCTAGGATTCTAATCTCCCAGATGCCCCTGCTTCCCAACAGTTGCAATAGCATATTTCTGTTGTCCAACTTTTGTCATAAAGTTGCAAAGCTTGTCAAATACGGCACCATCTTATGATTACTTCTCCTTAAAAAATTACTTCTACCACCAAAAGCACAGAAGCAAATTATGACAGCTCAATTATGCTGCCCCATTGCATTTTGAATCAGAACGACTTTTAACGTAATACTCGAAATAACTAATCAAATTCCACTGCGCTCAGCCAAATATTTTGCTATTCATAGTACAGAAAGAATTTTTCCTTATAATTGACAGTTGAAAGAATCTCATTTTTACAGCCAAGAAAACCAGAGATGATTAGAAAAAAAGGTAGATCCCATTGAAAATTTTCACGCTTCCACCTTTATATAACGTTTCACAGTACATATAAAAAGAAGACGCTACAACAAAACGAAGAAAATTTTATACAATTCCTAATTGACTACACACAAAATAATATCCGTGCAACTTCGTTCAAATAAACCGCAAAGTACATAAACAAGGACATATAAAGGTAGGGAATTCAGCAAATTGGACAATGCACAGATAAAGATACCGTTTAAGTTCAACACCAAGAATCAAATCAAGTACTCTTCTGTTTCTCTGTCTGAGCAGATGAGTTGAACCAAGGTATCCAAACCGATGTTGTCCTCTGATATAGCCTATATGCTTCAGCTCTGTACTCTTGTTTTAGCATCCGCTCTTCAACAAGTATTGTTACGTATGCCAAGCACATGCTATTGATGAGCGCACCAACAAATGTCCATCCATGTCCGAGGTTCCATGCAAATACAACCAATCCCCACCACCATAACTGCTCCCCGAAGTAATTTGGATGTCTTGAATAGCACCACAGTCCCCGGTCAAGATTAAGGACCACCGGCTTTCCAAGCTCTTTCAGCTTGCTATTTCTACTTACAAATTGATGGAGTTGCGTATCAGCAAAGTAAGCAATAACTATACCACACAAACAGACCGCGACAGCAACAAAATCCCATATATTCAACGGCTTATCAACCGAGTACACAACATACAATGGCAAGCACACCCCAATGAGAAACAACTGCAAAGATGTCAAGGTGTAACGAAGGTACCGCAATAACTCTTGAAGGATAAAAATTAAAAATTAAGAGCTCGTTGCGACATTTCGTCGAGCATTTATTCCAAGAAACCGCATATTTTAGGCTTAGCTAGTATTAAAATTTGCAACGGTGACAAAGAACTTGGGTTTACCTGTTGAGAGAAGTAGACAGCAAACAAGGAAACCCACCACCAGTGTTTGCCATACTGAGCGCGCATATCCGTGAACCGCCAATCTTCCCTGGCACCCCATTGCCACTTTTCACGCCTGAAGTAGTTATGAGTCAGCCTCACACTCCACACCCATGTCAATATTATCACTATTATTGACCTCCAAAGGTTATACTGTCCCAATGGGTGTGTTGCGAAGTAATGAACAAGCATTACTGGTATAACAGTCCAATACAAATCGATCATCTGCATTCACACACACAAAAAAAAAAATTAGTTAATCGAGAAAAGATATGATTCAAAAAGAAAGAAATGGAAGGGGTGAAGGGACGGACCCAGTGGCTATTCTGGATGTGACTGATGACCCAGAAGAGAACATTGACGTTGAAGAAGAAGAAAATATTAGCTAAAAGAAGAGGGTGGTAATAGCACCATGACCACAGAGGTTGAGTAGTATGAGATTGATGATAGTGATCAAGAAATGATAGATAAAAGAGTATGGAAGGAAGGGGAGTGAGTAATGCAATCACTGCATTCTTTAAGTTACGACCCATGTTGATGTTGTTATACTCTTTCAAATGGTACCAGGCTCGTTCTACCGCTGCTCAAGAGTCAAGATGCTAGAGGATATAAATAGCGAATTAGCAAGGTCCAAGAGAGGGCCTTTTTTCTGAAATTCTATTAACTTTTTATCCTATGCCATGATGAACAAAGATTCATATGTACCTCTTTCTGCATGGTGGTGGTAGTGGTGGTTCCCCACAGTCAATCACTGCTGACTTCTAATCATCATCGGGACCTACTGGTTCTTCAATGCCAGTTAGTTAATCTCACTGGCATGGCCTCTAATCAATTATTATTAGGTTCAACTTAACCAATAATTAATAATTAGTGTATGTGTCTTCAATTTTCTGAGGGGTTTTCAGAGCGTGTAACTTGTCTAATTATTCTTCTCTTCGGCCCGTTGATAATTAGCAATTAGCAATTCAAAATTGACGGTGTTAAAGACAGATGCGAGTACCATGGCAATGATAACTAATGGGGCGTGCAAAATAAAATCCTTCAAACCAACTAATCGATACACAGGAGTAATATATAATTGTTATTTGTCACCATGCTTGTGCTGTCAATAATGATGATAGCGGCCTAAAGTGGTGTGCTTAATAATAAGCTCGAATCCACTCACATGGAATCGACAGTATAAATAGCTTCCCACTCACTGGTCCCCCTCCTCTCGCCCGACCTCAATTCTTTTAAATCGCCGCAATCTTCGCAGAAAGGAGAAACAGCCACAATGTACGACTGCCAACTGCCAAGCCTGAGGTGGATGGAAAACTGCTCACGGCCTTTTTCTCAACTTAAAGCACACAACAGGGTCCACAAAGGAGGTAATTTTTTTTTTTTTTTTTTTTTTCAGCATGCATATGTGTCGAAAGAGGTTTGGTCCAGCATGCGTTTGTTGGCCTGAGGATGTTACTGTCACAGCTTATCATAATAATGCTTCAAATATCAATCAGTGTCTTTAAGACATCTTGTTGCTCTTTGATGAACCAAAATGGGCTGTAATGAAGTGAGGAAGAGGAACCAATAATCAGTGTATCACCACCACTGACTTCACTCCAGATATGCCCACCAGCATTGTCACGAAAGTCATGTTGATGTTGGTATGGCGAGAAACAACTTAGAGAAAGAAAAAGTGATGTCAGGGTGAAAGGAAAGACATCAAATACAAGAACTACAAAATTACAAATATCTTGACACAAACCATGACATATGATAACTCAAAACATAACTCTACTATCTGATATCCCATAAATAAGCTCCCGCTTTTAAAGTGCACACAGCTAGCAGTAACTCTTGCAGACTCTTAGCTTAATTTAAGCATCACACAAAACCAACGGATAAAATAAACAAAATATTCAGAAGCAGCTCCGAATAAAGAACCATTGAAAGGCCATGATTCCAACTTTAAGTTTCCCTGAAAACTGTCATGCAGCTCTCAGAAACCCCTTTTCTCCCTTGCAATGTCAATTTTGATTGCTCGTTCAATCCATTTCAAGACAAGCCACTGCAACATGAAAAGACAAAGTATAACAAAAATTGTTTGTTCAAGCTCACTCAACAGAGATATCAAGTTATGAAACTCTGAGTTTTACCTGAAGCCCAAGAATGGCAGGAATCAACAATTTTCCCTTATCATCTGAGCCGGACCCATCAATCAACTTCTTGTCCACGACAACAGCTTTGCTCTTATTTGTCGCAACATCTGTGATTATTTTTACCAAGTTTGGAATCCAAGCTTCACCATTTGGAAGAATCTGGCATTAAAATGAGGACTAATTCATAATTAATCAAGGCACCCAAATATGTGACAAAACAGTCATAAAGAGTGCACAGAAACTGAACCTTCTCATCATTCTCATTTTTATTGCATCTACCACTATTCTCAACCAATACAGCAGGAATAGCAAAATCCTGCAAGCATCAGAGGCAAATATACAAATTAATGCAGCAACACTGTGATAATAATACTTTAAATGTGACAATAAGTTGACAATTCTTCTATGCAGAAGGCATTCAATTATGAATCAAGATAAAAATATTTCAAATGCAATTATGAACTGACGAATGACAATTCTCCTATGTAGAACACATTCAATTTATGAACCACAAACTTGCTGAAATTTAATCAAATGCTTTCCCAAGTTTATCAGAAGCATAATTAGTTATCAATCAGAATGTATTCATCTCATGCTTCCAAATTCACAATTCAATAAAAATTACAGATCAAAAACTTCAAAAATTCCTTCATTATATTCCTAAATTTCAGATACAAAGGATACATGTCTCTCCAAATTTCACAATTCAAAGCGTTTTGCATGACCTTCAAAAAGAGAACTTCTACATAATAGGATTTAGAAACATAACATGAAAATTATCAACAAATTGCATGCATGACTATCCAGAGAACCACTCATGGGCAAAAATAATTTCTGTTCTGTAATGTTATAACTACAAACCCATGGCAACAAATCAATAACTTAAATCATTAGACTCTTATTAACAAGAATTCAAATAGGCAATCAACTGAGGGTAACTCCTTTCTTAAATAGCTAAAAACTTTTAAACAAATTGTAAAAAAGCATAAAGGTATATGATGGTAACTCCAGTTTCTTCAATACTGTAATATCATTATAAAAAACATAACAGAGCATATATGAGTATAGAACAATAACTTACCATTCTGGTCATTCACTTTATAGACAAACCAAAAAGTATGAATCCAAGACTACAAGGGTGCAAGGATCCATTGCATATTTTACTCTTTTTTTTAAAGCAACTATAACATAAAGCATATAAAAACAAATATCCCGTTTTACCTTTCTAGTGTTTGCAGTTCTAGTATATTGAACCAAGATAACGTTAAAAAAGGGTATACCTAAGTTTCAAGATTGATTTGTCAGTGAAGTGATTCATATATAGCATGCTTTTTCCAGTACAATACAGATAATTACCAGAGCAAAAACAAGTAATCCATAATCCAACGTCTATGTGGTTTATATTATTGTGTAAACTCTCAAGGACTTGATTATCTCCCAATGTATGCATGGCTGCAAACGTGTGTGTGTGTCTACTTATAGAACACCGCAGCCTCTCTTCCTTAAGGAGGCTTTCTCAAACCTAGGGGAAAAAGGGAAAGGAAATAAAATCATCAAGAAGGCAGGCTTGAGTTGCTTGAACACCTTTGCCTTGAATGAATAGTCATAGCAATAATTTTTATGCCTAGCCTTAGAAAAACCATCTCTAGCCCCAACAGAAGTCTTCATGAATGTTCTTACAACCCAAGCATGTAGTATAATAACAACCAACCTCTCTCAATCTCTCTCTCCCTCTAAAAGAACCCACCTCCAATTTCGTTATATGCAAAATAAGTAACAAAACCAGTGTCAGCTTGCTAGTTTCATAACTTTTAAAGAGACGATGCATATCCAAAATATGATGTCTCATCAATTTGAGAAAAAGTTAGTTTATTGCTCCATGTCAGCCTTGATATATTTCTAATAAACAGACTTTTCCACCACTAAAGTGTTAAATAGAACAACGTACCTCAAATTCTTGCTTCCTAATCCGAGCTCCAAGTCGAATAGTCTTTAGGAGAGCCTCAGAACGTTTAGAGCAATAAACATCATAATTCAATTCATCAGGTGGGCAAAGTTGGGCATGAGTAAGGACAAGCAAACTTCTGCGCCATATTTGCTTGCCAAAAGTTCCAGTGATGGCCTTGATAATTTGCTTATCTAAGTCATCCACTCTATATGCATCCAAACGGTCTACATAGAGCAGAACATCTATGGTCTTATTCAAAAGAAACCTGCATTGGAAATCCCCATTTTTAACCGCAGTACAATCACATTTCCATCACACAAATCAAAACTTCACTCTTAGATATGAATCATACGGTAAGTAAAAACTTTTCGTGACACTCAAAAACTAACCCTTTTATCAACTCAAGAGCTTGGTAACTAACATAACCAGCTTCTACAAGCCCCGGGGTGTCAATTATGTTTAATGTAAATCCTCCCTTGGTGCGCGATACCATTACTGGTCTCAGTGCTTCTGACTGCAAGGTAACCAACAGAACGTCAAATAGCCAAAGACACAAGAATACCAAAAACCAACAAGTCCGCAAGATAAGTGAATTTAAGGTATGCCTGAAAAGAATTAACAGTGACAGCTCGTTCCCCAATAAGCGAATTGACAGTTGAAGATTTCCCAACACCACCTTTGCCCATAACAAGTATTGTCAACGTGTTCACATTCTGTAATTAGTAACAATAATGTAAAGTTAATTGACATTATAAATTAACGACTAAGCGAACAAACCTAAAGAAAGGAAATTAAACCTCCTGCTTTAATTTGGCCAGTAATTCGATGAGTTTGTTCTGAGTTGCAGAAGGAAACTGTTGAAACCCGGTCCATTCACGAATTAGAAGGGACCCCATTGATGTTCCTCTAAAATTAAAACAAAGAACCAAAAAAAAAGGCAAAAAAAACGACCAATTAGATAAACCCTAAAAAAAACCAACTCAATCGTCCCCCAAAACCCTAAAAACCCCGAATCCAAAAACAGTGTAATCTCTAACTTACATCTTTGGCTTGACCGCTACCTCTTGCAGTGGGGGTTGAAACTAAGGCAGTAGCGCCTTTATCTTCTTTCCTTTTCGGGTTATCTTATCGAACTTATATTTTGTTTTCCGCAGGAAATTTGTTTACCGAGTACGACTACTTCTTTATTTATTGTATTTTGTATAGCAAATAATTAGGGTTTTTTTTTTTTTTTTTTAATGGTGGTAAACTATTTTGTCTACTATGATTCACAAGTTTAGTTTACATCAAGTGTCACAGTTTAATTTTTCACAAGATTAGCGACCACTGAAATTGTTTCAAATCTGTTTCTATTAGTTGGTATTAGATATCTTACTATTTTTAATAATTATATTTAAGGGATAATAACTTATTTAATACATTACCTTTTAGGTTTTTCTCTTTATTCTTTATTAATATTAGTTTGAAATAATACATTCAAAAAACTAATTATATTACACTCCATATCCATTATGTAAGATAGTTTAATAATTGATTAATAATAAAAATACATCATTTTCATACAATATTTATCATACAAAATTATGTCACAAAATATAATTGAATAATTTAAAATTAAAATTAAACTTTAACCAAATAATATATTGACACATAATATTATACGAGAAATATTGTATGAAAATGATGTATGTATAGTATTATTCTTAATAATTATAAACGACCCTTTAAAATAACATATCACCAAGTTTATTATTTAATTAATTAATGAAAAGGAAAATTTACTTGAAATTCTCGGTTTATTACCATTTCCACCTCAAGGTTTGGGAAAAATTCACACCCAAGATTTTATAAAAGTAACAGATGCACCCAAAAGGTTGAATACTTTCCTCAAACCTTGAGGAGGAAATTGTTATAAATTGAAGGTATAAAGTTCCAAAAGATTGCTAAAGATTGCTCGTCCCTGTACTCTGAATGATATAATCACACAATAACTGAAACCTAATATCTGATTTGTAAAAATCGAGGATGTCGAGTAGATTATTCAAGAAGGTTGTCAAAGAACAAGAACAAATACAGCAACAGCGCCAGGAAACTGAAGAAGAAGAACAGCTGAACGACGATGAATCCGAGTCTCCCGAATCGGGTTCTCGCCCTTCGATAAACCCATTTGACCTCCTCAATGACGGTGACGATGACCCTGAACCTGAGGTCTTTTCCCCTAAAATAACTCTTATTATCATCAATATTTTTGTTATTGTCATTGTTATTGTTGGTTTCTTTGCTATGAATACTGGAATTGGATAGTTTGATTCTATTGCCTCTATTTAAATCTTCAATCACTTTTGATTGATTTTATTTACTGGTTGATTACCGTTTATTAAGGTCAATTTGAAATTATGAGTTAAACTTCCTGCAAAAAGAAACAGAAAAAGAAAATATTGAGCTCGTGCTAGGGGTAG